AATGGCAGAGTCGAATAGTTTCACTCCCACTGGGAAATCTGCATTGTTGCTTGAATGAGAGCTAATTAAACACATTTTCCAGACCGGCGAAAGAGTATGCAACAGCCAATTTTAACAGCCTGTCACATGATTTTACTCTGAATGTCAATATGAAAAGAGGCTAGACCATTTTACGCAGGAGTAATTGGGAGTAGAATATGTGAGGGATAGTATCAACAGAAATGTGTATAGTGAAAAGTAATATCTATCCTTCTTGTGCATTTCTGTTTTTTAGTATATTGGTTTGATAATGTTGAACTTGCATGATTTGCAATGAGTTTTTTTTTTTTACTGAAACTCCCCTATTGATCGAATCCCGGGTTTGAACGAGAACGGCGCACCACGTGATTCGTTTGAATACAATGCTGAATGCAAAAACATGCCGTGCTTCTGCGACACTCCACTGACGGAATAACTTATTAGTACTGCATGCTACAACTTCGCTTGTGATGTTGCTTGTTAGCCATGGATTAAATTAATCTTGATTACCAGTTAAAATGTTGCTCATTTGGCGTTGGTAATCTTTATTTGGAACTGGGTAACGCCGCAACGTCGCCAGCAGAAACCTCCTGGTACTTCATACTATGATAAAACTCAGTCAACATACATCAAGTTCTCTCAATCGTAGTATTCCATGTGATGTACACCTAATATGCCAAAAATGTTGCTGAACGATTTAAACTGGATAAAAATACTTCCGTTGCCAATGTAAACAAGCCGGTAAAAAGAAGCAATACTGTAAAATGACTAATTTTCACTGGGTTTAAATTTCACTGATTTACCATTTCAGGCATATTCAGTGGGTTTTAAATTCACGGTTTCGTCATTTAGATAATGTGTTCTATGCTAAATTTTACATATTCACTGTGTTTTAATTTAGCGCATTTTTCCAGTCAGCGAAATAAGCTAAATTAAAACCCAGTGAATAATTACCCCCTTTACAGTATGTTTTCGGCTGTTACCATGGCAGGACATGAACGTGAAGCTAACGTCGGTTTATAACTAAAACCGGGCACCTTATACGAGGTTCGCAAAATAACATTAGAAGTCACTTTATTTTATTGTTAGGCCGTATTCAGCCGTTAAATATATTATTTCCAACCGTTTTGCGATAGTATTTTCTAGATTGGAGGCAGCATTTACATTTTATTCAAAGTTCAAAGTTGCGTTGGGATTACGTTAACAGTGTAACAATGTCGGCGCCGGTAATCTCTTACCAGTGTGCAACGTAGCCAGAATAAAAAGCATGATCATTTGGGCACTGCTATTACAAGACTGGTAAGAGGTAATAAATTTGGGGCGAAAAGTATTCAAAAAACAGATTTTGGCTGTTGCCATGGTAGCGGTGGGTCAGGATTGTTTTTCCAATTAGTGATGGTACGACCTGCCTGTCAAGTATGAACAAAATCAACCAGGCCAAAAAAAATCACAGAAGACTTAAAAAGCCATTC